CCAAAATGCAACATTTTGTGGGTTTTGGTCTCCTTTCAAGTTTCAGGTAACGAAATCCACCTCATCCTTTTTATATACTTTTACTTACGTGCCACCAACTTGCATATATCAGTTAATAATTTGATTATTAAATACCAAAGTTGCTTTAAGTACTATCATTTTCGAAGTGTGTTGAGTCATATATAGTGGAGGTAACCAAATTGAGAATATTTGTGTTGATAATGTTGTTTATTGTGGTTTTGGTTACAGAAAGGTCCAAAGGATAAATCTGTAAAGGAGGGAAGAACAGATAACGAATGGGGCTAATATATATAATCTATGCTTTTCCATGTGAGACTACAAAAGACAACTCCAGTGAATTGGCAGTTGTTACTATATTATAGATTTTAAATTAGGTAGCCACACACCAAAAACACAAAAACATTATAGTAATGAATGATCCACCGTTACACTTTTGTCTTTTTTGTTTGTTTGTATAAAACCATATTTTCATCAATGAGATAAGAAGCCGAAGGCATCTTTCTTCCATTTCTCTAGTTCTTATTGTATACTATAAGAAATATAAAATTATCTCTGTGTTTGTATAAGTTTGGATATGTGCGTATGGACCTTTGCACAAGTCTTACGCCTCGAGAAAAATGTCGACCTAAGTACTTTATTTTGTTCAGTACAAAAATTGAATTCTATTTTAGAAGTGTGTCTAATATAGTTTCAAATAATAATGTGTTACACTATGTTTGAAGACGAACTCATTTGATAAAATATCATCTAATCTAAATTGAAGAAAATATACTTCAAAAATAAAAATCCACAACTTCTAGGTATACAAAAATAGTCTTTCCTCAATATGTGCTGTGGCAGTTCAGATAGTTATGAAGTCTAACCCATTTTGCTAAATGGATCACTCTACTCCGAGCTATTAGGCCAAACTAAACCGTTTTCACATGCCTAAAATCCACCAAAACATTTAGTTTTGAGATAAAATAGGACTATTAGTTGGAGGATTTGGTCCAAATCTCTATCATCTATAGTCCATTAGAAATATAGAGCCAAGGCCTTGAAACTGGACCTAGCCGAGACAATTTCTATCGAAAACATGTGTTTTGTTTTGTTTTGACAATGACAAAAGAAAACCTTAAATAGACTTACATAACCTACCATGAGGAGTGAGTGACTAGTGAGGACCAAAACAGTAAAGTTTAGGAGACGAATCGAATCAAATTAATCATAAGAAAATGTTTATTTCTCATATATATACCTCTGTAAATAATATTTCATAGATTTCTCACTGATATTTATATTGCGTAAGCTAATTTCAATAAAAAAAAAATTTGTTCAGAAAACAAACGTTACTTAATATTTTAGTCGCCTGGTATCTTGGATATCGTTTGGATTTAAACGATAATTCCGTTTTAAAATTCCTTTTTACCTTTTCCAAGTTTGTTGCTAACTACACAACCTCCAAATCCAATTTGACCGAATCAATCAAGTTTACAGTTTTTATACGCTAGCTACCGAAAAAAACTCCAAAAGTCCAACTATCTTCTCCTCGATTTCCTCACATTCCAGTTATAATAAATCAAAAGACTCGATCTTGGTGATTATTCGATTTCACACTAGAAAGATTTTTGTCATTTGGAAATCAAAAGATGGGTAGGGTTTTTATGGTTGATCTTCAAGGGCAAATCTACAGTTGCAAACACTGTAAGACTCATCTAACTAAAGACCAAGACCTCCTCTCTAAGGTTTGATTCTTTTACAATCTCGATATTTTTTGTCACAAATTCCATGTTTGGTGTTTTTTTTTGTGTCATTTAATCTGATTATAGTTTATGCATTTAAATTCAAAACCAGACTTTGAATATTGTGATTCTCCTTCCGATCCAAACATGGAATCTTTGCATCCCTTAGATAATTAATAACTTTGATATTATTCTTTCACAAAAACACGACTAAACTCTTAAAATTGTTTTGAAGTTTATGATCAAGAATTTATAATTCATTGACTATATAGTACTGACTTTT